GGTCAGGGTCGGCCTTTCCCCGCAGCGATGATGTCTATGGTGTGTTTGGAGCACTTGGTACCCACTGCAGAAAACTCGGGGCCAGATTCCGCTGAAGGTGGAAAAACTCGTTTTCAGCATAGAGGTGCCTGGGAAGAACGATGGCGGCTGGGGCGCGCCTTGGCTGTGCACGCATATTTGTGCAGGCGGCAGGCAGCAGAGCCGGCGTCGCAAAGGCCCTGCAGATTGAGATGTGCAGTTGTTGGTATAACAAACGTCGAGTGCAAAAAACAGCAAATAACTATTGACAGTGAAAGCTAACAGCTGTGCTTATTGTTTTCTGTGCTGAAGGGGAGGTTTCTTTTTTTTGAAGCTGTTGTGATCACCAGGTAGATTTACCAGAGGACAGGCTTAAGTCCTTCAAAGACATCCTCTGGTGAATGATTACAAAGTTGAGGAAAGCAGGCAATGAGGAATATAGGCTTAGCTCACAGTTGTATGCTGACTTTCTGCTGGATCAGTGACGTGCTGTCAATAATAATCTTTAGTTCCAAGTAATTACAGATCACCGTATTTATTTTTGAGCCATGCAGAGGGGTTCTTTCCTTCTGTCACTAAAATGTTGCAGCTTACGATTCACAATATAATCTCTTTGCAACACACGTTATAGAGTAGGAAGATAAAGGAGGATGTAGTTTGAAATGAAACTAATAAATGGATATATGGAGATCAACACCCTGGATGCACATGGCAAGGTATATCAGTGGTGGAGTGCTAGCACAGCTGTATTGTCATGTCTCTGTGAAAGTGTCATTTGGGTGTTTGTTTTGAGTCTGATTGGATTTTCATTATGTCTTTTTTTCTGGTGTCTCTCTCATAATTTTTAACAAATTCTCATCGTGAAGGAATTACTTTGGCCTGAGGGCTGATAAAGGTACTCCTGCAAAGTAAGTACTCTGTTTATGAAAGACATGGATCATAGAATTTTTCACTAATTTGTGAAAACAGCATCAAGGGGAACACCAGTGCAGGCATCTTCATTAAATCTCTGTACACTTCTCCTACTGCTGGTCTATTTAGGTGACTTTGTGTTTAACAAAATTTACCAACAAAATGTAGCTTGCTGTTGGTGCCTTGCAGGATGGGGGTTGTCAAGGCATGTAGTTACAGTTACGAATTCTTCTCTCTTATATGGTATGCATCTTGGTCTGAAGAGGAGGAAACCTGTGGTACCACGTTAGCAATACTTCAGTAGATGTCTTCTCTGTCCCACCCTTCCTCCTCCCTCTTGGGCCCCGAATACAGTCAAGTTACTCCAACTGCAGTTGGTGTTTGGCTTTCAATTTTGCATTGTGCAATATCTCTCTTTGGATGCTTGTGTGGAGGTGGGGATTGTGTAGGGCATCATCCCACCATGCTTACCAACCACTGTGTCGGTAAATGTGGTAAACATGGATTTATGGAGTTCTGCTTTTGGTAATAGTTGAGGATACGAAGCAAAGAATGGCATTGCATAGACCAAGGGCTACAGAAAGAAAGACTGGTGCGTGAAATGCGCTAGAGGAAGTAGCAGAAAACAGGAAATTTGTGGGAATTCTGTACAGCCAAAGTAGCAGAACAACTGGGATTCTTTTTTCCTGGAGGAACTGCTAAAAAGAAGAGATTTGTTTTGCTTACTAGCGTGCGGCTGTGAGGGTTTTCCTAAGGAGGTGTGGGGTGATGCGGAGCCATCCTTGTGCAGCAGCAGCCTGTGGTCTGTGAGCAAGAAAGCATAAAGAAAATGTCAGACTTCACTTACAAGCTGTTTCTATTTCTGGCAACAAGAGGCAAGAAATCACATGTGGTTTGTTAATTTAGCAGAACTGTCGGTATCTCTCCTGCAGTGCTATTTTGGAACCCATTTGGCTGTTTTACCCACCATGGTATGTGCGCTTTGGCTACAGGAGTGATTCTGATGAGACCCAAGGAGGCTGTGCAGCACTTGAATGCCATTAATCTGAGAGAGAGGAGTAGCAGAGCTGAGGGTAGCTTGTGGGGTATGTATCTTCTTCTCAGGAATTAGTTTGAAACTTCAGCATATTTGTTGTCAGCTGACCTCATCTAAGTGTTCAGCTTCTGTAGTCTGAACTTCAAAAACACGTTCTTTGAGCGCTCTGATACAGTCTTATGGAAATAGAACTGGTAAGCAGCCAAGAATGAGACCCTGTCCTTGCAACAGCCTGTTTCTGCTGAATTTAGGAATGTAAAAAGGAAGAAAACCAAACTCAATCATTGCAAAAAAAAAGTTTTGCATTAAGCCTTGGTCTCTGCGCAGGCATCGGAAATGGTAGCATCAGTACCAATCAGTACCAAGATTTCACGTTGCAGCAGGGGTCTGGATCTGCAGCCAAGCCACAGCTTTGTATTATTGTACACTTAAACTGAGGTTGTGATTCATCTTGATTTAGCTCGAATGAATTGCAGATAAAAGTAAACCCATTCCTGTTATGGGAACTCCTAGGAAGTGTGATGTGTCTGACTGCTAATTGTTTTAAATATTTCAATCTTAATCCCCGATGATGGTAGGCAATGCCTGTGTAACCAAGATAGGATCTCTGGTGTCTTATTTGTGCAGAGATGGAGGAGACATGCCCATAAAATTTATATGCCTTGAGTCGAGAGATGGAGAGAAAAGGTTGTGACTGATAAGAAGTCTGCACTCAGTTTGTGAAATGTTGAGAAATGGCTTGAATTTCAGTAAATGAAATTAAGCAAAGTTTTTCTTACTCAACCATTTTATTCTGAGCTATTTTTCTTCCAGACACCTACCTGTGATGATTCCACCATGTGCAACAACCCCTGTCAGCGATGCTGCACTCTTGCCAAGCATGACTTCTCAGGAAATCTGGAGGTCACAAGTTCCAGGCTATTCTGGGTCAGTCACACGGCACATAAGTCATCGGGCCAACAACTTCAAGAGACATCCGAAAAGGAGAAGACACATCCGCCCTTCGCCGCCGCCACCACCAAATACTCCATGTCCTATTGATCTGATTGACTTTGGAGATCTCCAGCCTCAGAGGTCTTTCCTAGAACTCCTGTTTAATGGGTGCATTCTCTTTGGGCTTGAGTTCAGCTATGCCATGGAAACAGCCTACGTTACCCCTGTGCTGCTTCAGATGGGGCTTCCAGACCAACTGTATGGAATGGTGTGGTTCATCAGCCCTATATTAGGTAACTTTTCTTTACACTATTTCTTCCCTCTTGTTTTTTCCACTACACAAGGGTTATATGTTTTGTTTTCTCTACCTCAGCTGATCACAAGTATGTTCTATGTGCTCTTCAGGTTAAGAAGCACTAGCCATAGTTTTAGACAACCAGATGGAGAATAATTCTTGCTGTGTCTTGCCTGAAATGGGCACAGCGTGATCAAAAGATCTGTTCTTTTGATGGCTTCTCAACCTCTTACACCTTGTGCGAGGGTAAGCTTTGCTTACTCCGATCCTATATTTAAAAACTTTAAAAAGAGGATCAGTGTATCCATTTATGTTCCTATGAAAAAAAGCACACAGAGAGAGTTCTCAAGGGTGTGTAAAAAAAGCAGAGTGGGATTACCTTCTCCTGTTTAACTTTCTTAAACAAATAAGGTGTTCCAGTGATAAAAGACTGTTGACTACTACTATTAAGGGCATTGGATTATTAACCTTAGCACAGAAGCAGGGCTGGGACTGTATCCATTACAATGGGAAGAACCATAGGATGGGCTATTAACCACTTTGTTCTCTTTGCTCTTTAACTCACGGGGTGTGCTTTGGAAGGAGAGAGTAAGTAGGCCCCTGCTCCCAGGCTGGCCCAGAGTAATACAGGCACCTTTTCTACTCGCATGTTTGCTTCCTGCTATCTTCCAAACTAATTCTGCAGGGGATTTCCCATCTAAGATAGGGTAAATTAAATAGCTTGTAAGGAACAGAGTCCTTTAGAGCATATAACTGTTGTACTCTTACTCTTTGTTTGGTGTTAAACTCTGCTGTATCAGTGATGCAGAGGGAACTGCCATGATAATGAGCAGAGGTACATTACATTATTAAGTCCCTGACCTGGGAAATAGCCAGGAAGTACACTGTGTGTGTGCACCTGAGTGACTAGTACCGACTGGTGATAGTAACTATGCCATGGTGTCCTGCCTTTAATTACCTTTTAAGCTACCTGTTTTAACTCCTCTGGAGCAGGCTTGTAGAAAAACGCTACTTATTGGCGATTCCTTTTTTCTAGGGTTCTTGCTACAGCCTTTGCTGGGGGCCTGGAGTGACAGATGCACATCAAGATTTGGGAGGAGAAGACCTTTCATTTTGGTCTTAGCAGTAGGTGCGTCTTTCAGAAACGATGGGTGTAACACTTTATAAAGTAGAAACACTGAGCCTCTGTCTTCTGTGACATTCCCTGTGGGATTAGGCTGAATAAAATGCCTCTGAAGTGTTGGATATTGTGGGTCTGAAGAAGGTGGTAAGTGGAGCCCAAGTGATGCTTTGGCAGCCAGAGATCCACACACAAAAAACTTCTCTTATCAGAGTCTGAAGACGTGATGTTTTGAGGGTTAAGAATGTTTTTCTTGGGTCAAAACCAACTCCAGACATTTGTAACCTCGAACAGTGGAAATGGGTTATCTATATCCTATGAGCCATGCTCATTCCTCAGACTATGGTGATCTGAACAAGAGCAGTAGTACTTGCTACAGGGCTGTGCAGGTAGTATAATGCTTTTAGAGCATGGAGTGATGCAAGTTTTTTTGCTTACAACCAGTCGATTGATTAATTTTGTTTTGGTTTTATTCCCAGGAGCATTGCTTGGGCTCTCACTTATGCTGAATGGCAAAGATATAGGGAGTGCCTTGTCTGACACTGCATATAACCACAAATGGGGTATCATTCTTACGGTCTGTGGCGTTGTCTTCATGGACTTCAGTGCAGATTCAGCAGACAATCCCAGTCATGCCTACATGATGGATGTATGCAGCCCAGTGGATCAAGACAGGGGCCTCAACATCCACGCTTTGTTAGCAGGTATGCTTTCTTGGTGCTTCCTGGGTGACGTGAACCCTAAGTATACAGGCCCCACTATGAGAAAGCAGAGTGTAAATCACTGGTCTTTTCCTGTGTAGGCATAATAACCAAATACCTGGAGAGGCAGCAGTAATTAACTTTGAAGACAAACTTCTGCTTACTACCAAAAGGCTTTGGTAACTATCATCAGCCAAAAACCCCACAGTCCTAGGTTGTTCACGTGAAAGTCCCTTGTGTAACTTCTATGGAAACAAAATTATCCCTCAAGGGAGGAGGTTCAGCTTCATGCAGATGTGGAAAATGTGTTTTGTAGTCACTCTATGGGAAGAGAAAGCACATACTAGGCGCTATGATCCCTCAATGCTTTCATCTTCAGTTGCTGTACTGCCCTAGTGTAGTTTTCCTCTCCATTAGGAGACTGTTTCACGCTTTTGAATGTGTTTGTAAGAAAGAAAGGATAGCGTCATAAGGCTTTCAGCCTGTGAATGGAGTGAGAGAGGTATCCGGTGCCCTCAGAACTTTTGTTTTCATTGCTAGTAATACAGTGGCAGTTTTATATGCTGTCAACACGTTACTGAGTAATGAGCTTGCTATGCTTCTGAAGTGATTTGGTCTGTCTTGGGCGCAGTTGGATCTGTGTTCCTCTAACTGAGTAAGGAAAATGGATTTTCACTTACTTTCAGGAAAACAGTCTTAGCTGACTGATTGCAGAGCCTTACCACGAGGCTGGTGGACACTTCTGTTTTATGGACTGAAATAGCTGAAGGTAAAGTGGTTTGTTCTTGGCAAAGAAAGAAGTACTACTTTTAATTATTTGTATCATCACTTTTTGCAGCACTGACCTTCTCCCTCTTTCTGTACCGTTTTTGTACGTCCAGACTGTCTTTGTGGTATGGATAACTGTGTTCATTACCACATTTGAACTGAAAAGGAGTTGAGTAGTAAAACAGAAGCAATGTGTCGGATTCTACTCGCGAATCAGTAGACAAATGGTGCTATGTTGTTACTGACTTCCAGGATTGGCTAGGGAAGTTAATCTTGACTCTGTTTTTCCACCAGGTCTTGGAGGTGGCTTTGGTTATGTTGTTGGAGGAATACACTGGGATAAAACCGGCTTTGGAAAAGCTGTGGGAGGGCAACTTCGCGTCATCTATATCTTCACCTCAGTTATACTGAGTATCACTACTGTGCTGACTCTAATTAGCATTCCAGAAAGACCCTTAAGGTCCTTGAGCATGAAGAAAAAGGTGATGAAGAGTCCAAGTCTTCCTCTCCCTCCTTCTCCACCTTTGTTCTTTGAGGAGGGTGTAAATGGACACTTTGCTTCTCATAACTCAACTCACTTATATGCCAGTTTTACGAGTCCTGTTTCTCCCCTCAGCCCACTCACACCCAAATATGGCAGTTTTGTCAGCAGAGAAAATTCCTTGACGGGAATTAATGAGTTTGCATCATCTTTTGGAACTTCAAATATTGACAGTGTGCTTATAGACTGTTTTACAGGCGGGCACAGTAGTTACTTAGCCCTTCCAGCTAGCTTGCCCAGGCAGCCTGTCAGCATCAGCTTTCCTCGGGTGCCTGATGGCTGTTACCAAGGAGAAAATGGAGTTCTGGAGGAAAGGGAGAGCATCATAATGCCAGGGCCTGATGGCGAGGCACTGAGGGTGGGCTCACTGGATGCAGTAAAGCCACGGTCATCAGGGATCCTGAAAAGACCTCAGACCTTGGCCATTCCAGATATTGTAACAGGACACTGTCCAGAAAATAGCAGAAGACGAAATGTAACCTTCAGCCAACAGGTAAGGGCAGAAAATCAATGATACAACCATGTAAGCCTGAGTGTTCATTTAATCTCTTAATATAATTTTAAATGTGTGGTGCACAAATTCATCATTAAAGACTGCTTGTGACAGTTTGCTCATAAAAGTCATTGTGGAAACAGCATACCTGCTATGACTTTATCAGTAAAATAGTGTGTAGGATGTGAATTACTGTCTTTGTTAAGATGGAGCATTCTGCTCTCACCAGGCCATGTGTGAAAGTTAGGTCAGTATTTTTGGCCCTTCTTGACCATCCAGGGAGCTACCACGTGAGAGCAGAAAAAGACACATTTTTATTGAGCCTGTATCTTCCCTTTCCACAGAAATACCCGCAATATAGGGCCAGGGGTAGAATTCTCCCATGAGCTTCTCCTTATGGCAGTCATTACATCTGGTTCCATCAGGGAGGTGAGGTTTTCCTTACCCAGGGATAGGACTCTGACTGCACCTCCCACTGTTGGTGATAACTTGGAATGTCTGAGACCTCTGTATGCTGGCCCATTTTTTTATGATCCGGGATGAGGTAAACTGTCCTCTGTGGTTTTATTTTGTTTGTTTGGTTGGTTGGTTTGTTTGTTATGTGGGGTTTTTTTTGTTGTTTGTTTGGGGGAGTGTGGGTTGTTGGTGTTGGTTTTTTTTTTGTGGGGGGTGTGTTTTTTTGGTGTTTTGTTTGTTTTGTTTGGTTGTTGTTGTTGCTCCACTTTGACCCAGTTTGTGAGAGCAGATTTTGTTAGGGCCAAGATTTTACATACTGTGCACACAGAGATAGAGCATCAAGGTAAGCAAGCAGTGAGAATGTGTTTCAATTAAAACCGGCCTCTTCTTCCTCAATGTCTCTAAAACCTCAGGAACCAAATTCGCCTAAATGTGGGTACAGCTTCTATTAAATGCAATGGAATTTATGCCTTCCCTACGCTATCATCCGGATGTGGTTGCCAAATACCCTAGAGAAGTGAAGAGTACTGTTTCAAGCATGCTGAAAGCTGCAGCACAGTGCTGCCATTTAATGCTCATTCCAGGGCTGAACTTGGAGCTTAGCTACATACACTGTTCTTAATCTCCGAGTCAACATACTGCAACAGCAGAGTTTAACTTTCACATGATCAGATAGGTGCGTAATACTGCATAGGTTTGCTCAAAGGATCTTTGGATTTTTCTTACTGTGTTTGTTGACCTGGGAGTTATTATGGTGCAGGTTGCTAATATCTTGCTGAATGGTGTTAAGTATGAGAGCCAGCTGAACGGATCAGGCGAGACCTCTGAGCAACCACTCTCTGTGAAACTTCTTTGTTCGACCATCTGCCAGATGCCCAAGGCTCTTCGTAACCTCTGCATCAACCACTTCCTAGGTATTCAGAAAGCGCCGTCTTGCTTTCGCTGTGAAGTAGTCTACCTCGGGTGAATGTTTTTAACTATTTTATCTATTGCTACAATGGCTGTTAACTAGAGAAGACATGATTTGTTCCACATATACTCACCAATAAGGTACTTTATGGTATTTAGTTTCTTAGAACACTGGGAAAGGAAAATAAAAACAAAACAACAAAACAGTAAAGCTACATTCCTACAGTGGCCTAAAGCAGCACATCTGTTAAATTGAATGTTTACACCAGGATGAGAAATGCCAGTAAACTTGAAACTATCGACCCTTTTTTCTTTTTTTTTCTTTTTTTCTTTTTTTTTTTTAAAAAAAAACCCTGAAACTAGCATTACTGAGCCAGAAAGATGAGATTGATTGTATTTTTCTGCTTACAAACTGGCATTCACTTTCCTCACTTTGACAGCATGTGTGTAGGGGTCCCAGCACAGGCCACGAGGAGGCGCGGAATACGACACTGCAGGAGTGCCTGTAACTAGTGTGCTGTTACCTTTACTCTTACCAGTGCGTGACTGATGATTAGGAAGGGCTTGCAGGCAATCCAGATTACACAAAATTAGACAGAAGCTAACAGGTAGGTAATACTCATTGGCTGTGAAAAGGAATTAAGAGGTTGCCTGCATCTGTGGCCTTAATGCTGGTTTGTGAGTAGGAATTTTTAACTGTGTCAGAGGCGCTCTAGAGTCTGCAACCCTGACGTAAGAAGCGCTCCTTCCAGTTCTATGTGAGAGCGCAACAGCAACTCGAAATGACTATATGATGAGCCACTCTGTGAAACCGAGCGTTGTGTCCTGTCAAAATCTGAAGGCAGCTCAGAATGCTGTAATCTATTTTTCTGTCTTCTTAAACCACTTTTCTGTGGCCTGCAGTCAGTCTGTAGGATTCCACTTAGGAATTCAAAGGCTAAGTCTTGGTCTTTAAAATCCTGAATGTCTTTGACAATCATTGTAGCATAATGCATGGGGAACAGCAGTCTGATACGTGTGGCTGAATCTTATGTACAACATTGTACAACCTGTCTTCAGGTTGCAATTTGTAATATAGCTAATAGCATCCATATAAGCTTACAAGAGGAAACAGATACTCTGCAATCCTAATAGGTTACTTCTGGCTTCTTTCAGGATGGCTTTCATTTGAGGGGATGTTACTTTTCTATACCGACTTCATGGGAGAAGTAGTGTTTCAAGGAAATCCAAAAGCGCCTCACAGCTCAGATGAGTATCAGAAGTACAACGCTGGGGTCACCATGGGCTGCTGGGGAATGTGCATCTATGCATTCAGTGCTGCATTCTATTCAGGTACTTAGTACAGCCATCTTAGCCACTGCTTTGAGAAAGATGCACCTGCTCCTTAAGCAGTGTTTCTGCAACAAGTAGTCTAGCATTTGTGTTGCACATAGCCTACCACACAGCAGAAGTGCTGATGCAGAGTGTTCTTTTTCACTGTATTTTCTCTGCTAGTTAGCTTGGCCTGCACTGACAGCAGATGAGGTCAACAGTCCAGTGAAAAGACATCTCTGTTGGTATATAGTTTCTTTCACATGTGGTATTTTCAGTGTACATTGAATCCAGACATACACACAGCCACCATAGGCACAGTTCCGGTGCAGCAGTCAGTGCCTGTGTCCCCCAAGCAGAGCACGCTGGTGTCACACACCACCCCAGCACCTTCTCATGCGTGTCATGTGTCCGCCCTGCCCCTCTCCCCCCCTGCAACAGTTCCCATTTACCCCTCTGGAACAGGGCCACTGCCAGGCTTTGGCTCTGCTGTGCCCTCCACACAGGTAGGGCATCAAGGCCGCAGCATGACAGTGGGATTTGGAAGGGCTCCTTGGCACTCATGTACAAACCGGTAGTTACTCAAAGGCCTAACGGTTGCTGCTGAGACGTGGCTGCCTTAATGGCTGGGCTGTGGAGCCCAAAGGTGTACCCCTAGGGTACCGACTGTCTAGCAGCAGGGAGGGCCACGGTTCACCCTGAATGCTGTGCAATTGTTTTGCAGCTGTGCTGGAGAAGTTGGAGGAGCAGTTCAGCACACGGACGCTGTACTTTGTGGCATATTTGGCCTTTGGGCTGGGCACAGGGCTGGCCACGCTCTCCAGAAATGTCTATGTGGTGCTGTCACTGTGTGCTACCTATGGCATCCTCTTCGCCACGCTCTGCACGCTGCCCTACTCCCTGCTGTGCGACTACTACCAGAGCCATGAGGTGAGCCCCGGGCTGGGGAGGGGAGAGGGGCTCCTGCAGCACCCCCTTACGCTATGTCCCCCGCAGTTTGTAGGCTCGCCGGCGGGGGGGGGCGTGGGCTGGGCGTTGACATCTCCCTGCTGAGCTGCCAGTACTTCCTGGCGCAGATCCTTGTGGCCCTGGCCATGGGGCCGCTGACAGCAGCTGTGGGCAGTGCCAGTGGTGCCATGTACTTCGCCAGCCTGGTGTCCTTCCTGGGCTGTCTCTTCTCTTCTCTCTGCGTCACCTACGAGTTGCCACCTACTGAGGAGCTGCTGCCAGCCGAGGAACAGCGCCCGCTCTTGCCCCGTGCACGGATGGAATAAAGGGAGAAGCCGCCATAGCCTCCATTGCCTCATTGTGTTGCCCTCAGCCTCCCCATCGTGGTGTGATGGGCTTATGTGCCACTGGGACAGCAGCAGTGAGCATGGCAAATGACAAGAAGATCTATGCAGGCTACGCCAAGCTTTCCCCTGCCTATGGGAGGATGAGGGGTGAGTCAGCAGTGCCTGGCACTGCTCATCCTTTTCCTGACGTGGAAAAGGCCCATCTGTGTCCCTGGAGCACAGCAACAGAAAATGGTGGTGTCAGCATGGGGCCATTTCCTCCAGCTACCCTGTGGTGCCATCATTCCCAGGGGCGCAAGTCGTGGTGTCCGGCCTGAGGCAGGGGACCCAGAAGTCTGGTGCCCAGGCAGGGTGACCATGATCTCCTGGGCGGCAGTGAGCTGCACGTCTGCATGTGCTGCTGTGGGCACTGCCACTGTGGGAGAGCTGGGGCTGTGGTGCTCTGCCAGCATCTGGTGCCATCTCGGGGCTCAGGGCTAGGCAGAGTGACCCAGTCTCGGTTGCCGAGGGCAGCGGTGACTCCTGTCAGGCCTCAGAAAGCAATGAGGCCAACCTGTGGATCCTGGCCTCTGCCCATGGTAGGCCTGCCTCTGGAGAGTGCTTTTTAAAACTTTGGAAAGGCTGAGAGCAACTAGTCTTCCTTGGGTGGCGCAAGTTCTCTGTCAAGTGCCACAGCTGGGTTCCTGGGTGCGCAGAGCTCCTGCCAGCAGAACTGCTCCAAGAAACCACTGTGGGGTGAAACGGCAGCGGCCTGGCTCCCAAACCCTGCTCTGTAGGTTCTGGCTGGGGTCCATGGGGATGGTTGCCAATATGTGCATATTTCCTTACACAAAAGACTTTTAACTAAGACTATGAGGGCTTGTGATGACTTAGCAGGAGAGTGGGCAGTTGTCTGTAACCCAGCTTTGGGGGGGTGGCGTGTCTTTTTACATCAGCTTCCCTAGGGTAGAAGCTTACTCTCAAAGTTAAGAAAAATCATTTGTGTGAAAGCTTGCAGCACATCATCCGTGTTTTTAATACAGTTGTACTTTGTGATATTTTAAAATCTGCATGGGCATTGGTGATTAAGTACTTGTCAGCTAGAGCTGCATTTTCCATATCTCATTGAAACTAGTAAAAAGGCTTTGTGTTTCATTATCTGTGAGAATCCTTAATTACTCTGATTTTGGAAGGTGGTAAATGTGTGAGATCTACAAGTTCCAGTTAAGCCCAGGAGCCTTTTAAGTCTTGAGAGCAAAGATGAAAGCAGAAATAAAGTTTAAACTATTTCTAGGATTCCTGTCAGCCTGTCTCTGTATTTGGGTAGGCAGCCAAGGTTTACCAAGGCTGGTGGGCATTTTGGTGTTTACATGTGCTGTGCGTGTCATCCCTGTAGAGGTTATTTTTGCTCACCTGGTCTTTAGGTCCGGAAGAAGGGTTTTCGTTGGAGAGTTATGCCTTTTAAATTAGTTGTACTTGACCGTTCACCTGAGTACTCTGATGCTTGATCTATGGTGCCAAGATGAAATAATGCGTAATTTTTAGATGATGTGGATCACTATACTCCAGTGCTCAAAGCATAACGCACAACTTGTAAGAACCTCTTTGTTTTTATCATGCGCCCTTGATGCTTTATTTCAGAAGCAAGTTTCATGCTACTTAGTATTTACTTAAATGGAGGAACACTTACTGAAGTTACAAATTCAAGCTCTCAGAGGTAAAGGATTGTCAGATTGATGAGTCTGTTCGAACAATCTTTCGTCTGGGCTTACGTAGTGTCATATCTGCAGGTATATCTGTGACGTGCCTTTTCCTTGATTATGGGACAGCTGTCTCCAAGAATGTTCAGGATGAAGCTGGAACAAAATACCGTTAGAAATTGTACATTTGGTGCTTCTGATTTCTGACAATCTAAAGACTTGACTTTGGAGAATTTTTCTTTTCTTGTTGGTCCACTGTGTAACCTTAAGTTCCTTATCAAATTTTTAAACTCTTTTTTTTTTTGTCCCACTAGCTAATGTGGTACTAGTTCTTAAAATGTTTTCTCCTCTTAAGTTTTGTAGCCAGCATTATTGCACTAAATGGATCTTGAGCACTTTCCTTTTCTAGGCAGCTGGAGTTGCAGATCATTTTGTTGCAAATGACGGTCTTCAAAAAATACATAGAATTGATGAAATCAATGTATTTGATGGTAATGTTTTTCTTTGCTTCCACTTGTAAATAGTATTATGAAATACATTATAGTTATAAAACTGTTGCTATGCCAGTATGCATCGCCCAATAGAATATATATTATATTTTCTGTTTTATGTGATATGGACTTTATTTTGCATATGTATTTATGTAGTGTTTACATAGATAGTATTTTTAAGTCAACATCAATGTATGTTAATTTGGGGCTTTGAACAATACTGGTGATGCCTGAAAAAACCCAGAGCCTGCCACCATCATACAGAGTTGAAAGTCACACTGAATCCATAGAAATAACTTTAAAAAGAGGCACTGCTTACTTGCTTATTCTCTTCCTTTGTCATATGTTTTGTGTTTTACAGAAATTACTGTATGTGATCACTGCTGAACTGTGAGCTGCAAAGTGATGTTTACCTTTTGGAATCCAAATGCTTCAAATATTCTACCTAAATCTGCAAGCTGGTGTTTAGAAGCAAGATGCACGGGTTTAGGCAGGGAAGTAATTTTACGCCATGCTGTCGTTTAATCTCTTCAGCAGTGCCCAAAGGTTAATTTTGATTATCATTGATTATCATATCCTTATCATTAAAGATTGCTTGATGGCAGTTATTTGTGGGTGTTCATAAATGTATTTATAAGATGTGTACAGAAATAGGGAAAATGGGGAGAGGGATAGAGAAAGCATCTAGTTGTCTTATGTTTGAAATTAAGCTAGCTGAAACCATTTTGGTGTCTACAGTTCACTTGACCTTTGCCATGTCTTTCAGAAATGACAACGTGACAATTTTGGAACTTCTGCTGTATCTTTGAATTAAGAAACTAAGCCTTTCAAGAATCCAATAAAAGAAAATTGCATGACTGTAAATATAAAAAAAGAAACTACTACTAAAAAGTAGTCACCTTGTACTCTGTAGGGGATGCACTTTATTTTATTAAAAAAAAGAATTTGCATTTGGGTAAAAGGTGGCTTTCTTAGTGTATATTCTCCCTCCCTCAGTCGGGAAGACAGCCTTAGCACGAGACTTTTAGATGCCGTTACCGTAACAACACACAATGGATTGCGTTAAGTACAATCCATTCTATGACTGCTGGAGCTGAAATGCCAAGGGTGAGCTCCAGCATGTGTTTCATGTCTCTAAATTGACGGTTTCCATACCTCTCTTTGTTAAGACATAATGATTCATTCAGCGTAGCTTTTCTGGTGGGAAGGGTTGTGGTGATGTTTGCTAAGGAAATGGCTGCAGCATCTTTCAATGGCTGTTCCTCTGCCCCAAGCTGCTGCTTCTTCTGTAGCAGGGTCAGTGGAAAGGAAGATGCTGGCGAGAGCGTGCGCGCATTTACGGTGGCAGATTTCAGGGTGCAATTTACTGCTCGACCCACAAAACGCGGAACGCGGCGGGGGCTCGCGGCCGCTTTGGGCAGAAAATGCCCTGGAGCAGCGCGGGGCTGGGCCGAGACGGGGGGAGATACGTCACGGGGGTGCGGATACG